GTTTTATTTTGTGATGCTTCCTTAGCAATCTTGTCTACAATTTCATTTCCTTTGATCCCTATATGTGCTGGAACCCAAATAAATATAACAATACTACCCATCATTTCAACTTGATATAAAACTTGCTGTATTTCAATTAAAATGTCTGATCTACTTTCTGAACTATGATTTATTATACTGATTAAGCTGAACTCGAATCTGAACATATAATTGATCTTAACGGTCTCACTTCCTCTATCCAATGTAATGCTAATAATATTGATAATAATTCTCCTGTGTAAACAGATAATTCATTATTTATTCTCCTATTAACTTTGATATTGAACTCTAAAACATAAAATGCAATACCTAACCTATTACTCACACTTTTAGGTGCATCTGTATATATTTGAATATAACCATAATAACTATTAACATATTCCTGTATCAGTTTATGATAAATATTGCCTTCCTTTTCTTTTCTAATCATGTCAAATCCACTGTAGTTTCAGGTATGATCCAGGGAGGGATTACTGGTAACGCTACAGTTGGACTACATTTAATTTGATCTAATTTAAGTTCTCTTAGTTTATTCCCCACTATCCATCCAAAACTTCCCGTTTGTCTCCTCTCCCTTTCCCAACACGGCTGCAGTGTTTCTTTTGTAGGATGATCTTGACCATGACCCTGTAAACTAACCCAGTATTTTAGCAACAGTTCTCCTGATTTCCAGGCATTTCTCCACTTTCAACCTGCAATGTTGTTTTAAATGCTCCTGTAATTAATCTTAAAGCTTGTGTCTGTATATACTCTAATAGCTGTGATAGCTGCTGAACCATAAACCACTCTACCAAAGTCTATTGCTGATCTTATTAATCCTGTATAAATAGCTTTTAAAGCAGTTCTGTCTGCTTTCCACTAACGACCAACTAAACTTCTCATAACATTCAAAACTTTTTTGCACTTATCAAAAATTTTCTGAATATGAAATGCCCTTTAAATTCTATCATCAAACCATAAACCAAGGAATTTAAAGTTTTTGATCCTTTCTATCTCTTGATTATATAATTTAACCTTCACCATAATATCAATTTTTTTCCGAGTAAAAAAAAAAAACTGTTTTCGATTTTTCCACTGAAAGTTTGAATCCTCATTTATACGACCAATCTATATCTTATTAATAGCTTTTTGTAAGTTCTTCACAATATAATCAGTATTCCGACCTCTCACCCAAACCCATTTTCTATATCTTTAAAACATCATTAATCATTATATAAAAAAGTAATGGACTTAATATGCAGGTGTTCCATTTTCAATAAGATAGTTTGAAGAATAACTCTTTCCTATTTTAACCTGTATTTCCTTTCACTTAAAAAATCTTTTAACCATCTATATATTCTAGCTTTAATATCCATCTTCAGCAGTTTGATCATCAATATCAAAGAATACAGCCGCTACACTTTCTCTATTTATTTGTGTTTTTCTAATTTTATGTTTTAGGCTCAAAGATGGATCCATGGTATTCCTTCCTTTTCTGAAGCCACTTTGCCATCTGGATATACATTGATTCCTTTCCAAATAATATGTCAGCCTGTCATTGATAATTTTTCTCCATTATTTTGCAAATATTTGAGATTAAAGCAATAGGCCTATAATTTCCTGGGTTTGCGCCATCTTTTCCTGGTTTACGTATTGGTATGATCACAGCTTCTTTCCAAACCATTGGCAGATTTCCCTCTTCATGTTGCATTATTTGCAAGCGCACCCTCTGCCAGAAAAAAAAGTATCTTTTATATATATAAATATATATATATATATATATATATATATATATATATATATATATATATATATATATATATATATATATATATATATATACATATATATATACATATATATATATATATATATTTTACATCAATTATTTTGTTTTTTAAGAAACGCATGTAAATACTTTCATCACCTGGTTCAGTATCAAAATAAAAAATACTAATTATGATTTTTACAAGGAATCAACTAATTAAAACATTTTTGCATTTCTTTGGATTATCTGCTGATGCCCCCAAACAGCCACATAATTATATCTAAATATTCTCAATACTCAGTATTGATCAAAGTTCCTTATATCATTAAATCCATTATTGGTGCAAACTTTTCTCAAAAGGAGAAATCATATTTATTGAAACTAAAAATGAATTTAAATCATAGAAAAATGTCTATTTGAGTGGAATTCTACACAGTTTCTTTCCCTCCATTTTGTTTAAAGCATCCATGTTGGATAACATTCTTGGGCTGTTTCTCAATCTGTGTAAGGATACACAGTCAAATAAATCTATTTTAAAGAGGACCTACCCTTTAGGCGTTATTGACATCTTTGCTGCTTTTTTATTAAACTGTAATTTTCTGCCAATGTGACGAAGATGCAGAAAAGCAGAGCAGCTTTTATATAACAGCAGGTGTTTCCTCCACCATTAGGTTGCTGTCACACACGCTGCACACACGCAGCTAATTAAGGGCTGAACGGTCCACTAGCCCTACCCACTACCTGGTTTGGGAAAGCATTTAATGGGGTGGAGCCTCTGGGGGAGCATGTTCTACAGACCGCATCATCCATGTTTTAATACTGTAAAATTACCAATGATTGTATGAATCAAATAACTGTTTAAAGATGTTGGAGCTTGGCCTGTTTTTCCAGTGTAGTCCTGTTTCTATGACTGTGACTGGTTGGATGTGCTCTCTTCATCCCCTGACATGGGAGCTGGCTTGGAGCTCGTCTGCCTGGCTGCGTGTTTCCTGGACGGGGCCGCCTTTTTCAGTTGCCTTTTGTATCTCTGCTTCTGTCTCCTCGAACCCCAGTCGGCCTCAGCAGATGGCCGCTCACACTGAGCCTGGTTCTGCTGGAGGTTTCTTCCTGTTAAAAGGGAGTTTTTCCTCTCCACTGTCGCTATAAGCATGCTTAGTGTGAGGGATTGCTGAAGAGTCAATGAGTCGATGCAATCAACTGGTTTTCCTTAGATAGAAAACTTTGAATCAATCTGACTGGATGATCTGATGAACTGTAAAGTCCTTGAGATGACAGGTGTTGTGAATTGGCGCTATAGACTAAATTGAAATTAATTGATTTACTTTGACTATATTAAAACCCTTTCCCATTGACCAGATAACCAATTTTAACCCGGGAACAATCAGCTTTTAGTGGCAGTGGGAACAGCTCACTGACGAGTCGTCTACCCGGATCTAACGACTCGGCAAGAGACCCGCGTTAAAATCGCCTCAGATCTGATCGACATGCTGTGGGAACACCAGAGCCGGGTCGCCCTGCTAATTTACGTGATACGTAACATACGGACGTCAACACACCGCGCCAGTTGCTTCTGATCTAACAAGCAAAATCAACTCTGTTTACATTTGATAAACATGGAGCAGCTCTGGTGAGAGGGATTCAGACAGATAATAGAGAGAAGCAATAAAGCACACTGACTACGCCCTGGCTTCCTGCCATGCTGCTCTCCATTGTTTACTTTCCTGATATCTGTCGTACCAGTGACATCATCAATGCTAACCCGGTATGATGGTGTCACCAGACACACAGCCGCCAGCGAGGGGTTAGACAAGGTTTTATTGCCAGTGGGAAGGGAGTTAAAACATCAATGATACTGATGCCATTTTACTTTATGTGGACGATTAAATTTCAGCTTCCTCTGATGCCATCAATGTTGTTCTTTTATTCACATACCACATTAAATATAATAAACTGAGAGGTAATCCAGCATCTTTCTCTTGAGTAATGAACATATTTAAAATATACTATTTAGCAATAAATAAGGTTAAACAATAGAAAACTAACAAATCGCCATTAAAAACCCTTTGTTTTAAGCTTTCCATTGTAGGGCTTTGCAAGTTATTTGCATGGCTCTTTTCTCTTTTTTTTTTTCATCCCCCCTTACTGGTAATCCTCCATGAAATATATATTCTATTGCAGCGGTAACCAATTTTAAAATCAGCGGGGTCTGAATAAAGAAAATCATCAACCAGTAAAGGTCCGGAGACATTTTCAATTATAATCTGTTACTTGAAACAGAATTTAACACTGAAATAAAATGAGTTTTTTATGCATCCATGTTTTACATTTCATTGATCAGGTGCAGCCTGGAGCCGGACGCTCTGGAGGGCTTTACTGTATTAAAAGGAGAAGCAGCGCAAGTGAAGTTAGACACTGTGGTCGGACAACATGCAGTAATTTATAAATGTTTTAAATCCAGATTAGCCAGCAGGTGGGTCCAGATCCGGACCCTGGTCCGCTAATCTGTGACCTCTGTTCTAGTGTTTTATTTATGATTTATGCATTTCTGTATTGTTTATCAATTCAAGGAGAAAAAGACCAAAAAGATGGCTTCATTAGAACAGGAAAACACATAATTAACATCAGAATAAAAATTATTATTTGTTTGAACTCTTTTTTTCAAACCAGTTCTAATAATTAAATTAGTAAAACTTCTCAGTAGTGAAGTGTGATAACAAGCATCACACTGCTGTGCTTCAATAGGGCATCTTCAGTCAGAAGCATCTTCAGCCACTGTGGGACAGACCTCTACAGGAGATCCTTCCTGTACCTATAAGCTTCTACCACTCATTGAGAGAAAACATGTTAAAAACCGGTTAAAAAATACCGTCTCTTTGGATATAATACAGTATTTTAGATTTATATTGAATTATAAATAAAAATACTTTATGAACTGATACTGAGGTTTACATGTTTAGTGATTTTACTGTCTCAGACTTTGCTGTACGTGTGTGAGCCATTAAGAACAATGGTGGTGTTTTTAATAAATGTTGTCGTTAATCCACATTTCCAAAATAATCTTTTAAGATTATGCAAAATTTATGGCAAGATGAGTGTGGTTTTATGGATGTATGAATGAATGACTGTTTTTTTTAGCTAAATCCAAAAGCGTGAAGAGAGAAGATGAGATGCAGATGCAGAAATGGGAGGAGAGGAAGATGCGTGGAACCAGGGGAAAGATGCACTCCCACTGGAGCGAGGAAATCTGAGCAAGTAACGGCAAAAAGATCAAACAAGGGGAGGCAAACTCAGAGTACGTCTAATCTTAATATGCAAGCGTTACTCTCCTCCTGGCTCCAACCCCCACCCCCACCCACGCAGAGCCAGCAGTAGAGGCAGGGAGCCAGCAGAGTCTGCCGAGCAGCAGCCATGACAGACGTGGGTGAGTAGCTTCACACATAATATCATCGTCTGTATGTCTGCTTGGGATGGATAGATAGATAGATGGATGGACGGATGGATGGATGGATAGATGGATGGATGGATGGGTGAATGGATGGATGGATTTTTCAGCATCTCATTGGGCGTCTAGCCTGGTAAAAGTCTGGTCTTCAAGGAATTCGATCAGTTAGGGGTAAGAACCACTTAACAGGAATTGGATTAGTCTCTGCAGGCTTTGTGTTTTACTGCTGCATAGTAAGTACCTGTGCAGTGTTATTGTATACATGCTCACATGTTGCACTGTGGGAGACGCTGCCCTATGCATCAGGAGGGCTTCCTGGAAGATCCCAGTAAGCCTGATTAGGAAACTGCTCCTCTCTCTCTCTACATGGACACATAAACACACCTGGTCACACGACAACAAAAGGACAGGGGCTTTAGGTCCTGGCGTAGCAGGGACTGCCCCTCCCTTCCATTCGAGCTATTTTGGACTCTGTAGGGATTAGCCTAGTAATCACATTCAGCAAGTCGTCCTTCGTTTATATGTGTTTCTAATACAATGTGTTGTGTACTTTGGTTGCTTACTGATTACACCCTCATTCCACGGTTTTAGGTGAAATGGCTCTAGCTGGACTGATCCAAGAGGATTTGCTGCTATTAAACCCAGATACCAAAGTTACAAGCATCTTTATGCTGGACAGTTTCACAAAAACATCTTTCTAGCTTTTTTTAACCAGTGCAGCTGGTTAGAGGTGACAGGTTTGCTACTGGCTTCTAAAGGATGTGTCCTCCTGCAGAGGAGGCCTGCATTGTTTTGTTAAAGCTAAGGAGATCAAGAAAAGCCAGGCTGGTGGGGTGGTATCTCTTTATTGCTGCATAGTGAACCTCTAGAGGCAAAGGTAACGATCCAGCCAGACTTTCCTCTGGTCATAAATGTAAATATAGAGAATTAGACAGGACTTCAATGTCCAGTACAGTCTGTTAGAGAGCAGACATCAGTCAGCATCTGGTAAACGAATAACCAGCCTTGGTTGGTAAGCCCTTTGCTTTGTTTTGGTTGTCTCTCATATGAATGTTTGGTTGAGTACATTATGGCCTGTACCGGGACAGGGACTAGTTGGTGGCATATTGCTGGGAAGGATTGCTTATTTCTTTTGAGGTCCATGGTGTGGTCAGACCCACCCAGTAAAAATTGGTTGAAAAAGACATGATTTATTTTCAAAAGACGTCTACATTCAGTTGTAAAAGTGAAAGGTGAAAATGTTGAGGAAATCTCACAAAACATCGTTAACCAGGGCTTGAAAACAGGCAGGAGCGTTAGTCAGACCAAAAGGCATTACCAGGTACTCGAACTGGCCTAGAGGAGTTTTAAATGCCGTCTTCCACTCATCTCCCTCTCTGATTCTGAGGAGATGGTAGGCATTTCTTAGATCCAATTTAGTGAAAACGGTGGCCCCTTTCACGGGTTCAAAGGCGGATGCAAGCAGAGGCAAGGGGTATTTGTTTTTAATGGTTATTTGGTACAGTCCTCTATCATCAATACAGGGCCGGAGAGATCCATGCTTCTTGCCTACAAAGAAGAAACCGGCACCAAGAGGAGATGATGGGGGCCGAATAATACCGGCGGCTAAAGACTCATTAATATAATTCTCCATGGTTTCTCTTTCTGGCTTGGACATATTAAAGAGTCAACTACTGGGAAGTGGAGCCCCAGGTAAAAGATCAATGGCACAATCGTATGGTCTGTGAGGAGGAAGTGACAATGCACTGACCTTACTGAAGACAGGTGCCAGATCGTGGTAGTCAGGAGGTACAGAGGATAAATCAGGTGGATCAGCTTCCTGACGACTGGCTGGGGAGTGAATAACTGGAGCTGCAGAGCGGAGACATGAGACATGGCAGGAGGCAGACCAAGACTCAATGTGTTTCTTTGCCCAATTAATGTGAGGGTTGTGACGCTCCAGCCACTCATACCCGAGAACTAGAGGTGAACAGGCAGATGGAAAAACAAAATATTATACAGTTTCTCTGTGGTTACCAGAGATTAGAAGTTCGAGTGGCTGAGTCTGATGAGTAACTTGCGGTAATCTCTTCCCATCAAGGGCTGAAACTCTGAGAGGGCTTTTCAAAGGAGTAGTCCTAATGTTTAGTTGTTGAACCAGGTTTGAGTCAATTAAATTTCTCTCACAACCAGAGTCAATGAAGGCGGATAAGGTGAGAGATTGATTCGAGGCAAAGAGAGTAGCAGGTAACAGCAGATGAGGAGACTTTTCAGATTGCAGATCGTCCGCCAGACTCCTCATTTCCTCTGGTGGACCCTGGCTTTTACCTTAGCTGGGCAGGTAGAAACGAAGTGACCGAGTTCACCACAGTACATGCACAGATTCCCCTTAAATCTTCTTTGCCTTTCCTCTGTAGTGAGTCTGGTGTGACCGATTTGCATAGGCTCGACTTCGGAAACCTCTGTGGATGGAGAGACGTGATGAGTTTTAGAAGCAGAAACAGAAGCAGGCTGATTTCGGCTCCTTGATCTGGAATCAGGTTCAGAGGACAAAGAACAAACAGATGTGCTGTTAAAGTTAGTTGCAGGGGCAGATACAGAGCAAACGGGGCTTCTTGCTTTTGATTTGAGTCTGGCTCGAAGCCTATTATCCAGACGGATGGTTAATTTTTATCAAATCCTCCAAGGTTGTTGGTTCATCTATAGTAGCCAGTTCATCCTTAATTGTTTCATCTAAAGCCTTGAAATAAGCGCTTTTAAGCGCGGGTTTATTCCATCCGGAAGCAGCGGCTTTGACCCGGAAGTCAATTGAAAAATCGGCTACTGTCCTATTTCCTTGTTTGAGGTCTAATAGACCACGAGATTCTGTACATTGGTCAGTGTCATGGTTGAAAACTAGCAAGAATTCTTTTAAGAATTGTTCGAAGGTGCAGGAAAAACTGGATTCTGAGAGAAATCGGGCCTCTGCCCATTCAAGGGCTTTTCCAGATAATTGAGATATGATAAAGGCTATTTTTCTCTTGTCATTCAGAAAACTGGCCGGAGAGTGTTCAAAAATCAGTTTGCATTGAAAAAGGAATCCTTTACACTTACTTGGTAAGTGTTATGTGCTTCGGGCACATTATGATTTTTGTCTATTTCTTTTCTTTGTTTTTTTACAGACTTTAGTTGAAGGATCTTTTGTTAATATATTTTGGGAGTTGAATAATTCTTTTGGCCAGTTAATTACGTTAATTTGTGGTGCTGTTGTCCGCCTATAAATAGGCTGGCTTTCAGCATGTTGGGGCGTTCCTTTCCATCTTCGCCTGGACGCCGCTTTTCCACCTGCTTCCACTTGTTCCACCGTGCGCGGTGCGCGCTTGTCTTGTCGCTGCGGCCCGCAGCGGACGTTCCAGCCTGCCATGCGGTATTTTGGTTAGCCGTTGCTTACTTTTTTTCTTGTGGTTTTGGCCTGGTGGGACCGGTTGTCCTATTTTCGATTTTTCTTTTGCTTAGGTTATTTTTGTGCTTTAGTCCGGTACCAGTAGGGGCTTCGACGGCCCTGTATAAGGTTGGCCCCCTGCGGTACCGTTTTGTTCTGTTTGATCGGCCTGCCAGGTCCAACTTTCTGTTGTTAGTTTTGGGTTCTTATTTTTTGATTCCTTTGGGGCACGGGATCTGAGGGCCTCTAACTTTATTTTCTTTGCAGAAAATCAGAAGAAGCTGAGCCAAGAAAACTAAAGAGGAGAGAATTTATAAATAAAATATTTCTTTGAACCCTCATGTTTTTGTCTCGTGTCCTCAAATATGTTGTGCCCTTGGTGGACGTAACAGTAAGCCAGAGAATTTTTCCGGAAGTGAGGGGCGAAATTCCGGAAATGACGGACCGGGTTCTGATCTGATAGGTGGATTAGCCTCCGGAACCGGAAGTTGAGCTGGCTCCGCTCTAGGAGTAGCTTCCCGGAGATAGCCGGCTAACTCCTGCAAAGTTTGACTTGTTTGATCAAGACGGATGTTAACCTCACGGAGAGAGGTGTCATGGCCTTGGATGAGTGCTCCTTGCTGATCCAATACCCTCCGGAGTGTGTCTGCTGGGTTAACTTGTTGGCCAGAGTGTTCTGTCATGTTGGCTTTCAGGGATCTAACCCACATGCAGAGCACTCAGAGGCTGGGAAAAAGTTCACAATGTTTATTTGAACAGATCACAATAAATGAACAATGGTTCTGGGTTTAATCGGGTCCGGGTCTGGTCACGACTGGTTTCACTGTAGAGAGGGACAGATTGGTTAGCGGTCTTCCAGTGATCTTGCAGGTTATGTGTGTGCAGATCAATACCTGATCAGAGATTGAGCAGAGCGGTAGAAGGGGGGAACCGGGAGGGTCCAGAGGCTGAAGGCAGGCAGAGGGCTAGGCAGAGGCAGGGCTGAGTAATTAGTCTAACAGAGCTGGTTCAGAGCTTCTCTCTCAGCTTCTTCTGAGAGCGGGCAGGCAGGTATCAGACTGATTCGGATTTCCAGGGTTTTCTGAGAACAGACTGCTTGGTTTCACGCTTGAGAAACTCTTCCAGGTTTCAGGTTTTCAGGCAGGTTCTTCCTGAGAAGCAGAGAGGACAAAAACAGATTAGGTTCAGATTCAGGATTCAGGGGAGTCAGAGATTCAGACAGGCAGGTTGGCTCAGGCTTGCTAACCATAACTGGCCAACAATCTGGCGTCGGAGTGTTGCACTGCCCCTCCTTAAATGCTGGTCTCCTGATGAGCTCACGAGCCGCAGGTGTGGTAGTCAGCTTCAGCTCCAGGAGACCTAGAACGCCCTCTGCTGGAGAAAGGTGGACAGACCTCCAGATCCCAACAAAAAGATACTTTGGATCAACCTAGAAAAATGACAGATTTTTTTACACTTGATTGTTTTACTTTTTCTGAGATTAAATTTATCAGATAAATGAAAGTATAAATGTAGAATTTATAAGAAATGTTTTTCTTTTTACCTTAAACAAAAAAAAGACTTAATTCAAAGTAAAGCTATCACTTAAAACATAAAAAAGTTTTATACTTTGTTATAACTTTGTTTTTCAGTTTGAAAAATAGCAACATTTTTTCTCCATTAAATGTAAGTAAAAATGTACTTTGAAAAAAAATTATATTGTATCTATTTCAAAGAGTAAATGCATAACTTTGGTTCAACTATATTTATTGAGCACATACACAGGATTTATAATTCATCATAACTTAGAACTGGTCCTTTAGTTTATAAAACTAAACAGTCCATCATAAACATTTCTGTTCAGAAACTGCTTAGACCGCATTAGTTGTAATAGTAACCTCCCTTATGGTGTCACAGTGCTTCCCACACCTATTTTGAATCAGTCAGGTAATGAAGTCACATTCATGTGAGTTACCGACTTGACTTGAAGTAGATATTTACTTGGAAACTAATTGTTGCAGTTTTTATTCCCTGATAAGTGATTTTTTTTTTTTTTTAATCCAGGTAAAGTGAAATGATTGGTTTCTGTGAGAGACCGAGCAGCCAACCATGAGAACAAAGTGGTGATTATCAAGACAAATGGGTTTTATTTCCCCAAATTAACAATAATCCAAACAAGGATTACAGGGCCCTTAAAAGAGGTCATATGAAGAGACTAACTTTGGGGAAAAAAATAAAATAAGGTTAAACATAACAAAACCTCAAAATTACTGCACAAACAAAACTGACCTGAGCCATGGCAAACAAAGGGGACTTAAATACTGGCTGATCAGACCAGACTGACACACAGAGGAAGACGTAGGGAGAACATCTACACAAATTTAACAACAAAATAATCAAACAGTTAGCTTAAGTATCAAACCTAAATTACATTACTAAACAAAATTAGCCAAATGAGCAAATCACAAAAGAAAAAGAAGAAATTATGCAACATATTAAAAATGTGGAGTCTGTAGTCTTCCCCCATAGTGGAACTCCAGATGGTACAACCCAATCAGTCATTGGCTCTGTTCGAAAACCTAGGACGCATCCTTAGAAGACCAGATTCGAAGGCAGATTACGTCATAGCGTGGCGCTGAGGTCTGGTCGGATTCCAAGAGTCCTTGTTATGCGGCCTTAAAATGCGTCCTTCTTTTTGCCCGATTTGAAGGACGGGTCTGATGTATCCTCGGTATCCTTGGATATCCCAGGATTCATTGCGAGACCAAGCAAGCTGTGATCAGAGGAAAGGTTACTTGGCACCGAACAGTGGTGAAAATTGGAAGTTCATTTTAATATAATACAAGTCATTTAATAGTTCCATCTGAGATTAATGAAAATAGTTGTTTTAATGGTTATTGAGTCAGATATGTGTGGTAAAGTTTGATTTATATAAAGGTTTTAATCTGTTACTGTTTAAATGGGTTTGGCTGTAATTTAAGGACAGATTCTAATATATCTGCAGGGTGGGGACTATAAATCTGATAGGATTTTTATCTTTTTATTGCTGGTTTGCACAATATGCTTAACTACGTATTTTTTGTTGTTGAATATTAGAGATTTTGTAGATATATTTTTTATAAATACATTGTTTAGATTTACTTATATCTTTCTACCCCTTTTATAGAATAGAATAGAAAATCCCTTTATTGTCCCACGATGGGCAAATTTACAGCAGCAGAAAGATTATTGAAAATGGTCACACAAATTTGGACCTTAGAGAAATGTATAAGAATAACATGATAGGGAAGAGTTAAAATATAAACAATAAAATACTCTAAAGTGTTTTAATAATATAAAACGGGAGAATAAATAACCAATATGCAGCTATGGACATTTTTACAGTAATGGATATTTAAAAATAACAGCAACATCAGAGATGTGCAAAATGACAGCAGCATGTTATTTAACTGACTAAGGTTTCTATCATTACATTTGATTTGATTTGTTCCTGCTCCCGGTGGTTGGAACATTTATTCCACTCTGGATTCTTGTTAATGTAGTCTTTGTTCACTTTACAATAAAAAAGAAATAAATAAACAGTTTTGAAAACTTCTGTATTCATTCTTTTCCTGCTTTGTGTGTCAACGTTTACGGTTGCTAAGCAACAGAGCATACGGCGGTAAAACCTGCCGAAGGGTAGACCTGGTCGAATTTACAGCCTAAACTCTTCCGGTCTCCTTATTTTCAAGGACTTCGAAGGATCCAGTCTAGGTAGACCGCGTCCTTGGAGGATGCAGCCCAGGTTTTCGAACAGAGCCATTGAGTCTGTCAGCCAGAGTCCTATGCAGTCCCCCTCCAAAACACCAGAAAAAACCCCACAAACAATATTAAGCATTTGACAAAATTAAATATACAAAAGTTAACCAAATGCGCACACTACAATTGGAACTAATCTCTTCTAAAATTGTCAAAATAAAAATAAAAAAACCCAATACATTTATGCTGCTGTGTGGTAAAACTTAAAGTGAAAACGTGGCTGTGTGTGGGGTTACTGACCATGTGACCATCACAGTTTAGAAACACAAACACATTTTTTAAGTTGGAACAACATCAAATTTTAAGTTTACAAATGAAGTGGACATTTTCATGTTTTTCAGTGTGATTCAGTAACAGTTTTCTGATAATGAGGATTTTTAAGAACAACAGAGTCTCTAGATCGTCCAAATTGAAGATGTCGGATGCAAAAAAGCTCAGAGAGCAAAGCAGAGGCACATCTGACATGTTGGTTTAAAAACATTCATGTTGCAGTTTAACAAGTTAAAAATTGAGATTTCAATTCATATAGTGGCATCTGGTTGATTTTTTTAAAGGTTTCTTTATACTTTTATACTTTAAGTAGTTTTTGGAGCAAACACTTTTTCACTTTTACTTGAGTAAAGAGGTCAAGTTGATACTTCAAGTAACAGATGTGCGTACTTCGACACCACTGCTCCTGTGTTGTGCCATGCGCCTGTGTAGCAGTTGTTTGGTCTCTCCAATGTAAAGGTCTGTGCGTTCTTCACTTCACTGAACGGCATAACCCACCTTGTCGGTCTTGTTTCTGGGTGTCTTATCTTTGAGGTGAACCTGTTTTTGGGTATTGCTGTGTTTGTCTGTCCTGGTTCCTTTCTTTTCCTGTAAATCTCTCTGAATATCCCAGAATATCTAAACATGCCAAACCCTGCTTCATCTACCAGCCTAGACCTTTAAATTTCAACGTGTAAAGATGTTCTATGCACCTCTGTTCATTGTTCTGTAAATGCCAGCATCAAAGGTTGTTCTGTGATCCAGCAAACTGGGTCCACATGTCTCCTTTAATCCTTGAGCTGAACGAAACAGTCCTGGAAACCAGAATAAACTGTTTAGGAGTTGGTTTGTGCGTCTGTGTTGCATTCTGAGAAGCTGGAATCAAACCTAATAATGAACATGACAGAAACATTTCTGGGGTTAACGATCACTTTGTGATGTGTATGTCCTTATTTTTTAGACTCTCTAAATGAGGCGTTGAAGGCCATCAGTGTTAGCACAGAGCTGATTGAAGAAGAGCTAAAGCCTCATCTGGACACGGTGCTGACGGCTCTGCTGGAGAAGAGTGAGTTTCAAGGCTTAATGGGACCAATCAGAAAGGAAACCCCATCCTTATGCTGCCTTAGATCTTTCTTAAATGATCTTTATCCAGGGTAACTAACGAGCAAAATAACTATATTGTTTCTCAACAGAGAAGGATGCAGCTGTGGAGATCGTCAGAAGTGGGATCCTGCCCACACTGGCCCAGGCCTTACAGGGCAGAGGCAGTCTGAGCTGCCAGGTGGCTCTGCTGGTGGCAGAAATGGCACGAGAAGGTACACTGCATCCTGATTGGCTCTCTTCTATCACACATCAGTAAGACAAACTTCATGATGGAGGAGGGGCTCCTGTGCTACCAGAGGGACGGGTTATATAGAAAATCATCATTTTTAAATGACTGTGAAGCATATAAGCAGCTGATCAGTGACGTTTACCAAACTGCAGTTTCCAGTTTTTCCTCACACTAATAGATTTTTTCCTGGAACAAGTAAACAAAGAATTGGTTTCAGAAATGTTTCAGCTTTTTTCAGTTTTTATTTTACAGATTTGATCCCCAAAAAGTTTTTTTTTACTAATTGTATTATTTCTTTAAATCCCATTTTACAGATCTCTGTGTGAGGACCAATAGAAATGCTGTCGCTAATGGCTCGTTTCTTTTAATCAGTTTGTAATCTTTTAATACAAACAATTAAAATATAATCTGAAAAACTATTTTAAAAATCATAAATCCCTGTCAAAAAATAATTTTTTTGATGGAGATTTTTTTTGTAAAACGTGTTTTTTTTATTTCAGTAATATTGAAAGCGATTTCTCTCCATGCTCTTGCTGTCAATGCATGCAGCAGTGCGTCAGCAGAGTGAAAATAGCTCAGTGTTGTCTGCTTGTGTGTGTTGTAGCTGCTGTGAGAGATCAGTGCATCCAGGCTGGACTGGTGAAGGCTCTGGTTCCTCATCTGAGCAGCAGCGACCAGGAAATGCTGCTGAACACTGGCAGGGCCATCGGCCGCATCTGCTTCGACAACAGTGAGTGGTTCTGACAGCACAGGGATGGAGTCTAATGCTCACAGAGTGACAGCTCCACTGTTTACTCAGAAACAGAATATTGTTTTATTATTTCTAAATAAAGTTCTAACCAATTCAGAATTTTATTTTTACAGAAATAAGAGCAGTTTTTTATTAAACATAGTATAAAAAAGGTACAATTTAATATATGAGAGAAATACTAACAACTGAAAGAAAAGCTTTTCATAGAGAAGAAACTCACAGTTTATATGAGATATATAGTAAGTTAATAGTTGCTTTCTAAAAACAAAAATGCTCTGATTTATTATGCTATTCTTGAACATCTTTGTTGTCTAACTTTCTCTGCAGCACATCAACAGGACCAGTTAGTCCAGAGTGGCGTAATCCCCAGATTAGTGTCCATAATGAAGGAATACCCTGATAACGACCCCCTCGTCAACGTCTGCCTGCTGGCTCTCTGTAACCTGGCTGATTTAGGTACAAACCTTGTTGATTGTTGCTCATTGGACGACATATTCAGGAAATAGCCACAGTTTGACTCAGAGAATCTGATTGCATGTATGATTTCCAAGGTGAAGTTAAGAAAGGAGTTCTTAGTGACATGCCCGTGTACTCTCAGTCCTCTGGCTCATCGCTGTGAGCCCTCTGTAAAGTCTGTAAAATTAGGAGCAATATTTATGTTTATCTAGCATGTTTTTTGTTTTATTTATATATATATATATATATATATATATATATATATATATATATATATATATATATATATATATATATATATATATATATATATATATATATATATATATATATATATATATATATATGTATATGTATATGTATTATTTTTTATTACGAAAAAAATAAATAATAATTAGCGTGTTTTAAGAATAAAAAATAAGGGTGTTATTTTTTCCATCTCGTTTTTTTCCCGCTATTTCATTAATTATTTAATTCATTCATTTATAAAGATCAAAGTTCCAAAAATGTAAATATTTGTTTAACTAGTTAACAAACAAGTTCCATCCATTTAATGAAAAACGGGTGTTTAATGAGCGCAGAGGTGGAACCGAGTGCGAGGTAAATGGGTTGAGCGCGTGCATGGTTTTGAGCATGTGTGTGTGAAATCTAAATGCAGAACACCTGCCTGCATGCTCAAACACATGGCACAATCCTTATGGCATAAATACATACAGACATCCCGACTTAATGTGTCCTACAGACTACCTCACAAATAGTGCTTCATAGAGTGGCTCTCCAGGGCTTAGATAATGCATCTAAACCTTATGTCACAGTGTAGTAGAAAGAATAAGATCTGTGTGAAGTTACCACTGAGCTTTAACTCAGAGACGATGTGTTGTCACTGTCTACCGCTACAATGGAGGATTTAAGGTTTGCCCACCAGAATGACAGTACCTTCCTGAATGCGTTGGGTGGAGTCTAAAGTCTGGAGGAGGGAAGGTTACAGTGGGGGTTTTCTCACAGGGTTTCTTCGGACTTCAGGGATAGCTCCTTCAGTTCCCCAAAAAATTGAAAAAGTATGTAAAGACATAATCGGAAAATTCGGACAAGTAACTAGAGAGAGGCATGAAGATAGAACTAAGGTTTCTGAAGTTTCTAAAATAAAGCAGAAACTTTGGACCATATCATCTTGGTCTCTTCTCATGTTGGTGTTTGTCTTCAGATACATTTCTAAAGAAATTATCAATAATCATTATTAACTCCCACCTAAATCCTTTAGCAGGCCTTCCCCAAAAGCTGTCATAGCTACAAAGGATTGGTAATGCCAGTGTATTTAATTTCTGACATTTTTGAATAGCACACCAGATTGGAATCCAGATTGCTCATTAATGACTAGCTTAAGTCTGCCTGTGGCATGTGAAAACTTATATCCCACCATTTCTACCACATCCTTGAATTCTATTCCTGTATCTTCTTGGTTAAACTGTGCATTACTGGTGAGGATAGGGTTTACAGCCCTCTGACAGTAATTATAGAGCCTTGTCTTTACAGACAGTGCACGGCAGGCTCTGGTGGATCAGGATGTGGCAGATACACTGATGTTTCAGCTAAAACGGGCTCCTGATGCCGAGCGGCGGCATGTCATCTTGGAAATACTGGGCTCACTGGGTGAAAGTGGTAAGATACGCCAAACACAAAAGTTAGGAAAAGTTAGGTAGCCGTGGATTTTGACACAGTCCATGCTTGGATCTCAGTGCTGCATTTGATACAGTTGACCATAATATTATTTTAGAAAGACTTGAATATTTTGTTGGAATTAAAGGAACAGCACTAGACTGGTTTAAATCTTATCTTTCTGATCGCTTTCAGTTTGTTCATGTTAATGACAGATCTTCCTCACGCTCACAGGTTACCTGTGGAGTACCACAGGGATCAGTGCTAGGACCAATTCTCTTTACTTTATACATGCTCCCAATTGGTAGAGTTATTAGACAGCATGGGATTAATTTCCACTGTTATGCTGAGGATACCCAGCTATATCTGTCTATAAATCCAGATGAAGCTAACCCATTACATAGATTACAGGCATGTCTAAAGACATAAAAACCTGGATGACTCTTAACTTTCTGCTTCTGAATGCAGACAAAACAGAAGTTATAGTCTTTGGACCAGACTCTTTGAAAAATAAGCTGATTAGCCAGTCACTTCATTTGGATGGGATTAAACTGATTTCAGATAATAAAGTAAAAAATCTTGGTGTTATTTTTGATCAGGACCTGTCATTTAAATCCCATATCAAAGAGGTTTCTAGAATTTCCTTCTTTAATCTGAGGAACATTGCAAAAATTAGAAATCTCCTGTCCAGGGGTGATGCTGAGAAACTAGTCCAAGCATTTGTTACTTCAAGGCTGGACTATTGTAATTCTTTACTATCAGGAAGTCCACAAACTGTAGTTAAAAGCCTTCAGCTGATCCAAAATGCTGCAGCCAGAGTTCTAATGAAAATTAAAAAGAGAGATCATATCTCTCCTATCCTGGCTTCTCTTCATTGGCTTCCTGTTAAAGGAGAATTCCGGTTTTTAACACTTTTAGCCCATTTTCTGTAGTGTCCAGGATGAAATCGAATGATCGACACCAAAATTTTGACAATTGGTCCTGTCTCTGCTTTTTGGCTCATTTAGAATCACCCCCTGGCTGCTTTAGAATGGCTTTCATAGTGCATGTCCGATAATGTCCTTAAAACAACCTTAAACGTTCTTTTTTTAAAATATGCTACTCACCGGGTCGTCAGCGCTGTTCAATGACGTTCCAAAAAAAGTTTCGTAAAGAAAAAACGTTCCTGTAGTGTTTTATTTAGCATTTTGTAAATCCCATTGAGTTCTGTTGGAATAGTCAATATTCCCCTGCCACCGGAAACGGAAATGGGGCCTGTTTACACAGTTGTAGTCTTTTCGCTTCACTCTGTGTACTCCGACGTCGAGAATCAAGAATCCACCTTTCGTATTCCATTTTCAGAGTTTTTTAAAGTGTTTAACAGAGACGTTAGCACCTCGACGTCGGAGTACACAGAGTGAAGCGAAAAGACTACAACTGTGTAAACAGGCCCCATTTCCGTTTCCGGTGGCAGCGGAATATTGACTATTCCAACAGAACTCAATGGGATTTACAAAATGCTAAATAAAACACTACAGGAACGTTTTTTCTTTACGAAACTTTTTTTGGAACGTCATTGAACAGCGCTGACGACACGGTGAGTAGCATATTTAAAAAAAGAACGTTTAAGGTTGTTTTAAGGACATTATCGGACATGCACTATGGCAGCCATTATGAAGCAGTCAGGGGGTGATTCTAAATGAGCCAAAAAGCAGAGACAGGACCAATTGTCACAATTTTGGTGTCGATCAGTCGATTTCATCCTGGACACTACAGAAAATTGGCTAAAAGTGTTAAAAACCGGAATTCTCCTTTAAATCCAGAATATACAGGTGCTGGTCATAAAATTAGAATATCATGAAAAAGTAGATTGATTTCAGTAATTCCATTTAAAAAGTGAAACTTGTATATTATATTCATACATTACATACAAACTCATATATTTCAGATGTTTATTTTGTTTAATTTTGATGATTACAAATGACAACAAATGAAAATCTCAAATTCATCATATCAGAAAATTAGAATATTACTGAAGACCAATAAAAACAAAGGATTTATAGAAATGTTGGCCAACTGAAAAGTATGAACATGAAAAGTATGAGCATGTACAGCACTCAGTATTTAGTTGGGCCTCCTTTGGCCTGTATTACTGCAGCAATGCGGCGTGGCATGGAGTCGATCAGTCTGTGGCACTGCTCAGGTGTTATGATAGCCCAGGTTGCTCTAATAGTGGCTTTTAGCTCTTCTGAATTGTTGGGTCTGGTGTATTGCATCTTCTTCTTCACAATACCCCATAGATTTTCTATGGGGTTAAGGTCAGGAGAGTTTGCTGGCCAATTAAGAACAGGGATACCATGGTCCTTCAACCAGGTACTGGTAGCTTTGGCACTGTGTGCAGGTGCCAAGTCCTGTTGGAAAATGAAATCTGCATCTCCAAAAAGTTGGTCAGCTGCAGGAAGCATGAAGTGCTCTAAAACTTCCTGGTATGTGGCTGCGTTGACCCTGGACCTCAGAAAACACAATGGACCAACACCAGCAGATGACATGGCACCCCAAACCATCACTGACTGTGGAAACTTTACACTGGACTTCAAGCAACGTGGATGAAGTGCCTCTCTTCTTTTCCTCCAGACTCTGGGACCTTGATTTCCAAAGGAAATGCAAAATTTACTTTCATCAGAGAACATGACTTTGGACCACTCACCAGCAGTCCAGTCCTGTTTCTCTTTAGACGCTTCTGACGCTGTCTGTGGTTCAAGAGTGGCTTGACACAAGGAATGCGACAGCAGAAACCCATGTCTTTCATACGTCTGTGTGTGGTGGTTCTTGAAGCACTCACTCCAGCTGCAGTCCACTCTTTGTGAATCTCCCCCACATTTTTGAATGGGTTTTGTTTCACAATCCTCTCCAGGGTGCGGTTATCTCTCTTGCTTGTACACTTTTTTCGACCACATCTTTTCCTTCCCTTCGCCTCTCTATTAATGTGCTTGGACACTGAGCTCTGTGAACAGCCAGCCTCTTTAGCGATGACCTTTTGTGTCTTGCCCTCCTTGTGCAAGGTGTCGATGGTCGTCTTTTGGACAACTGTCAAGTCAGCAGTCTTCCCCATGATTGTGTAGCCTATAGAACTAGACTGAAAGACCATTTAAAGGCTTTTGCAGGTGGTTTGAGTTAATTAGCTGATTAGAGTGTGGCACCAGGGGCCATCAATTTTGAACCTTTTCACAATATTCTAATTTTCTGATATGATGAATTTGAGATTTTCATTTGTTGTCATTTGTAATCATCAAAATTAAACAAAATAAACATCTGAAATATATGGGTTTGTATGTAATGTATGAATATAATATACAAGTTTCACTTTTTAAATGGAATTACTGAAATCAATCTACTTTTTCATGATATTCTAATTTTATGACCAGCACCTGTAATTTAAAATCCTCCTTCTAACATATAAAGCCTTAAATGGCCAAGCTCCATCTGATATCAGAGATCTGATTGTTCCTTATGTTCCTAACAGAGCACTTCACTCTCAATCTGCAGGTTTACTAGTGGTTCCTAGAATTTCTAAAAGTAGAATGGGAGGCATATCTTTTAGTTATCAGGAACCAACTACCAGTTTTAGTTTAAGGATGAAACTATACCTTTTCTAACCTTTTTTTATTAGACAAAGGAGATATATTACAGAGACAGACTGCATCATGTCTGTAAAGTGATGACATTTTGGGAATTGCCACTATATAATAAACTGAATTGAATTTGAATATTAACTATTTGAAAAAAAAACAAAAAAACAAACGGTGTCTTAAAGTGTGGGAAGAAAAGGAAAACATGGACCACTACTGATGAAGCCATAATGGCTCAGGGTAAAAACCTAACATCAAACTTTATGCTGTGTTTTACCACCAGATGCACTAAAGCTGCAGTTTACAGAGTCGGGCGTACCAGAGGCTTTATCGCTGATGATTCGAGATCTGCAAGGACAGTCTGACCCCCATGACCTCTGTAGCATAAAGATCGCCTCCAACCTGATAGTGTCGTTGCTTTTAGGAGGTGAGTGGTGAACGGAGAGAAGTGAACGAATCAACTTTGCAGAATATCTGAATAAAATAAATAAATCCTTGATTTAAGTTGCATGAGTCTGGTTTGGAGTATCTGGACTATCTGATGATGAACAATTCAGAGAATACTGAGGAACATTAGACTGAGCTGCTGAGAATATGAGACAGGACAGCATCAGGAAATTTCATAACTAGGCGATTTATTAAAATATTAAATAAAAAGGCCTAGTTAATGTATTTTGACGTTCCAGGGGAAACATTGTGTCACAATAATTCTGGAAGGATCCTTGCTACTTGCTGGAAATTACATGTATGTGTTGTGTGACATGTTGATTAGTTTCTTTGTATGTGGTGGTTTTCCAGATGAATCTATGCAGAAATGTTTTGGAGAAGGATCAGGCGTGGTCTACCAGGACATTCTGGCCTGGCTGCAGAGCTCTAACACGCAGCTCCAACTCTCAGGAGCCCTTGCTATTGCCAACTTTGCCAGAAATGGTAAGTTTCTTATGTGAGTAAATGCTTCACAAAGTTTCCCAAATAATCCCACAGCTTTTACCTTGTTTTACTCGCATAAATTGGTTGGAATGCTGCAGCTGTTCACACAAAACATTTCACAAATGTTTTAGAGACTGGAGGTCCTGAAGCTTCGTGTCAGCTTGATTTATTTGCTTTTAAACCAGTTTGGGGGTGTGTTTATAATCGCTTTCCCAGTGCAAAACCTGGTTGTAAATTTGAACCAATTTGACCAAAAACAACACCCTAAAAAAGAAAGATTGGTCAGAAGTATGGGGAAAGATAACTGTCAAAGAGAGTGTATCTGTCTAAATCTGTAAATGTACATAAGAATATGTGAAAAAAGACATTTAGAAATTATAAATGCCAGTTACAAAATTATAACAATACAAATTGTGAAGTTAGGAAGCTGAGGCAGAGGCAAATTTGACAAAAACAGATTTATTTTAACTTAGACGGAGAGAAAGGCTCTGACTGGGGAAAGCCCAGCATTTATACCTTACAAAATCCCAACACACACTCTCTCTCCCATGGAACCATCCCACCCCTGCATGAAGAACTTTCTCCCACTCGAACATTGGAGCAAAACAACTTCAGTTCATTAAGGACATACATTTTTCATTAGCCGGATAAACACTTCAGAACAGGTGTCTTCTGTTTCTCTTTCATTTCAACCAAATTAGGTCGAGGATAAAACATGCTTTCACAATATGTTGAAAATAAGGAAAAAATAAAAATCTGAAATATAATGATGGATTTCAATTTTCAAAAGCGTTTATTAACCAAAACAGGTGCGAGGGGCTGCTAGTCTGCTGCGGGGCGGATCTCTGCAGGGATAGGAGAATACAGGTCAGTGACTGGATGTGGAGCTGAATACGACTTGGAGCAAAGTCACTGACTTGATTCAAAGTTCAGTCCGTTCGCGGAGCTTTGACCGGAGTTGGGGCGGGCGACGCCCCCAGAGTTCCTAGAGAGTGAGTAGCAGACGCCGGGCAGCAAAAGAGTCCAGAAGGGAAATCCAAGGCCGAAGTGAGGAGACAGTTCCAGGTTCAGAAGCCGGTAGAATTCCAGGATCAGATGCGACAAACAGAGCAGACAGGGGCAAAGCAAAAACTCGAGATCCTCAGGGCAGAAACTGGTCATAATCAGGAAAACAGACACACTAAAGATTGCTTGGAAACGTCTCACCAAAACAAATGAATAACCTGGTGCTAAATAGTAGAGGAACCAGGTGGGAATGATTGGCGATAATCAGAACCAATTAGACAGGGGAGGAAGGAGCAAAGGAAAAAAACCAAACCATCAGCGCCAAGATCATGACAGCCAATTCCAACAATAGTTACCTTCAAGCTAAAATGACCTTTACAAGTTGATTTAAGGCCAGAACACTCACAGTATGATTTTGCGTTGGATCCGACATTATTGTCTCGGACGAGGTTGTGGCGTTTAACGCTCATTGGAAGTCAATGGAGATGATTTCCTGCAGGGGGCAGCGTAGCTCCGGATGAGATAGAGCCCAGGTCTGTTTTAGTTTGACTATGCAGCAATTCAGCAGCAATTTCATGGGTCTGACAGGAAGAGAGACGCAGTTACAAAGTAAAACACATTAGTTTTGGTGGAAAATACAAAATAAAATCTGTTAATCTCATGGGGAAAGAGTCAGTTTGGAGTCACACATCAGATTATAGCAGAGATGGGAAGTAACGAAGTACAAATACTTCGTTACTGTACTCAAGTAGATTTTTCTGATATTTTTACTTTACTTTACTACTTATTTTTATGGCGACTTTTTACTTCTACTTCTTACATTTTTACACAAATATCTGTACTTTATACTCCTTTCATTTTAAAAAATTGGCTCGTTACTTTAGTTTTGAATCATTTTAATGGAGTTACCGTTATTATTTTTCACGTCATCAATACCAAATTCAATCTAATTGGATGGGAATCTACGTTGCATTTGACGCACCACTACAAGATGAATCGACAGATTTGGCGGTATTCATTGGCGGCAAATCATTGCAGCTTGGTGGCGGTGGCGTTAGCATAGTAGCATGGACGAGGAGATGATTGAAAATTAACACAACGGAGATCTAGTCCTATTGGCAGACATCCATTTAAAATGTAGGCAACGGCATGAAAAAAGTGGTTTCTACTTTTACTTTTATACTTTAAGTAAATTTACAAGCCTGTACTTTGTTACTTTTACTTGAGTAAAGAACTTTAATCAGTACTTCCACTTTTACCAGAATATTTTTTAACACAAGTGTCTGTACTTTTACTCAAGTACGGAAAGTGAGTACTTTTGCCATCTCTGGATTATAGTAAGCAGGACTGACTTCTGCAAAAACAATGAATGAAAGATTGAAACATCCCCATGATAGGGGTTCAGCAGGACAGAAATGGATAAAGTAGTTATCCTGTTTGAGCCTCACAGAAACCAAAATAAGGAGGTGCAGACAGAGCAGGTAAGTGCAGCGTATCTCTCTCACCTCTTTATGGAAGAAGAAAGAAAAACTTGAATAAACTTCCCAGATCTCTCTCTGAGAAACACCTCTCTGCCTCAGTTACCATAGAAACGTTTATTGCTGTGTTTTTCTTTTCTTTAACGTAGATCTCATTATGTGTTTAATAGATGAACATTCTCTATCTGTTCTTGTTCTAGATGCTGCACAGTCCCGTTGAGTAGAGCTTTGCTATATAGCAGAGCCGATGGTTTTTAATTTATTTTTAACTAACTTTTCATAATCTGTTCCAGTCAGATGAGGGAAAAAGTTGTAATGTGTGTATAGCACAGAGACAGAGGTGAAAATAATCTGCACAGATCTGCTCACCCTGCCTAGCAGGAGCATCTCTATATGCAGTCAGTGTGACATGGAAAAGAATCGGATTGGAGATTTAAAAAGTCGTACACAGCCGGTGTGTTCAGGCCTTAACATGAAGAAGCTAAACACATCATAAGTTTCATGTTCAGAGGTAACAAAGAATGTGACTTCAAGAGCTAAAGGTACAAAAACTACCTGAACAGGTATCAAGATAGGAAGTTACTTACATTTTTTATATTAAAGGTAAACTAGCCATCCAAACCAACCTGGTCTCCTAGGAGAACATGCCTGCCCCCTTATCCAACCACTAGAACTACTTTACCTTTAGTATCCAAAAATGACTCCCCAAATAATGTTCAATAAAGTTTAATATACAACTATGGAGCTGGTTGACAGTTTCCTTTTGTATCTCTGCTTCTGTCTCCTTGAACCCCAGTCCTGTTAAAAGGGAGTTTTTCCTCTCCACTCTCGCTACAAGCATGCTTAGTGTGCAGGATTGCCTTTGAATCAATGAGTCGATACAATCAACTGGTTTTCCTTAGATTGAAAACTTTGAATCAATCTGACTGGATGATCTGGTGAACTGTAAAGTGCCTTGATATGAAGTGTGTTTTTAATTGGTGCTAAAGAAATAAAATGAATTGAATTGACGTACCGAGCAGAACCTCATGTCATTCTGGTCTGCTTGTGAAAGCTAAGCTGTTGGGCTATCAGTTAGCTCAGGGATATCTATTCCCAGAGCTATATTGGCTAAACAGGACAAAAACAAAGGATCCAGAAATCACTTAAATAGAACCTTTTTTATGGTTTTAGATTTGTGTTTTGAATAATTTATAGAACATGTCTAAAGTTATGTTGTTAGATGTTTTGTGGATGTCAGAGGATGACTTTGGATTTTGCCCACTGTGTTTGTTCAGACAGTAACTGCGTGAAGATGCTGGACCTCGGTGTGGTTCCACACATCCTGACTTTGCTGGAGAAGCACGTAGATGAGGGGGACGTCTCTGTTCAACATGCCGGGCTCAGCGCACTGAGGAACCTGGCCATTCCCGGTACTCCTCCAAGCACACAGTAACACTGTGTTTGTCCTGTCTATGGTATTTCAGCTTCTATATGTAACAACCCCACTGCAGGAAACACTGTTCAGCCACTTTTAAACGGCATCTGACTTCAAGAAAAAACACCAAAACATGAAACTCAACACAAAAGTCCTAAAGCTGGATAGATGTCCTGCCGTTCTTCATCAGGAGTACTTCAGAACAGCTGCATGCTGGGTAACATAAACACAGACACTATCTTCAATAAGACACCTGCACCTTTTCTGTGTTTCAGCAACCAACAAAGTGAGGATGCTGGAGGATGGAGTGACTGAGAGGATAAAGGCTCTGCTGCGTACGGACATGCCCCCGGTTCAATTCAAACTGCTGGGAACGCTACGCATGATGGTGGATGGGCAAGGTGAGGAAACCGCTGCACCGATTCCACACATGGCCGCCCGGTACGCATGGTTCTATACCGCCCATGGACTTTCTGGTACAGCTGGTTTGATCCAAGAGGATTTTCTTCATCTATGAGTTCTGCCAGGCTATAACTTTACTTTACTGATGAAAACAGAGATTCAAACTTTCTGACTTGAGATGTGACTGCATTTGTTCTCTATTCAATTCTATTCAGTATATTTCTATAGCGCCAATTCACAACATGTCATTTCAAGGCACTTTACCATTCAACCAGATCATCCAGTCAAATTGGTTCAATCTTTTCTATCTAAGGAAAACCAGTTGATTGCGTCGACTCTTTGACTCTTTAGCAATCCTTCACACCAAGCATGCTTATAGCGAGCTCTCTTTTAAACGTTTGACTTTCTTGGATTTATTGTGAATTTCCCAGCATCCTCTGGTGTCTGTTCCAGAAGGGGCAGCCTTAAAGCTGGGCAGAGATGCGGTGCTGCTGGCACGGATCATGGAGTGGTGTGAAGCCAAGGACCACGCAGGTGTCCGAGGAGAAGCCAGTCGCCTGTTGGCCGCCCTGATCAGACACAGCCGCAGCCCTGTGAGCTTCCTTACTCTGACCGGCTCGTTGGTTCTGACCCGACTCGATAATGATGAGGCTCTCTAAAACGTCTCTTATTGGTGCTTTTGTTTCCTTTTTCTAACAGGAAGTTGTCCGTGCTGTGGCTGGGGCAGATGGGGTCAGACACCTTATCGCTATGGCAACAAGCGAGCATGTCATCATGCAGAACGAAGCCCTGGTTGCTCTTGCCATAGCATCTGCTATTGACATTGGTAAAGCTATTTCAGAGTTTATATAATGCCTAATATAAATAATCCAAGGTTCTGGCAGATTAAAGCTGTTGCTTTCCATCTGGCTGTCCTATGCAGAGAAATTCAATCCCATATTATTAAAAGCTTAAAAACTTCTCAATTAAACAAAGTTTTGAGAATTATTTATTTGTATACAAAAGTTCAACCAGTTTTTTTTTTTTGTTTTTTTTTACGATTTTCTGTTTTTTCAGATCTTATTTAAAAAAAAAAATTTCTATTTATTTTGGCGGCAGTTAACTCAGATTTTTATGAGTTAATTATATTTTAATCTTGTTCACCCTCTTTTTATTGGTCTGTTAGTAACAGCTTTCCTGTTGGTCCACTGACAGGTCATTCATAAACACAGAAGATAAAGTGTTGAAAACAGGATTTATAAAGAATTGCATTTGTAAAAATCTGATTCTCAAACATAAATATCTTTGCATCATTCTATTTATTATGGTTTTCAACATTTTTTTTCTTATTCTTTGTCTAAATAGTAGCTTAGTTTAGCTGAGTTTTACTAGTTTAGTCAAGACTTTTTAACAGAAATATGTTTGACTTGCAGCTTTTGAAAAAACGCTTCTGAATGGACGCTGTGGTGAATTTATTCCATAAATGTGCAGTTTCATTTACCTCTGTGATCTGACTGTGATTTGGGCTCAGTTCATACTGTCATTTGATTTTCTAACACAGGGCAAGTTGGTTCAAATATTATTTGATTAAATTACACATTTACCACCCCCACTGGGGTGGGTATTTAAATATATAATTGCATAACAAACTTTTTTGCAAACAGACTACAAATTACTCTCAAAAGCTCTTATTTTTAACTGAAAAGTTTTTAAATGTAATTTTTTGAAACCTGTTCTTTGTTTTAATATTGTTACAAAAACATTTCTCTCCATACATCCTAAACACATTACTGTGGGCCCTGGTATGCTGTTACGCTCCAGTTCACTTCAGGCCACACCCTCCTGGTTATATTACTGTCTACCCCAGAAGGCGGCAGCAATGTTTTAGCTTATGTTTCTGTTTGTCTCTATGGAAACCAGGGTCTATGAGGGATCTATTTAGTGAAGCCAACCTCTTACCAACGCTGAAGGGGATGTTGGACGACCCTGTGGGGGCGCTAGAGGTCAAGTTCAGCGCTTTGGGTCTTATCTGCACCTTGGCGAACTCTGGTAGGTGTTTCCTTGACAACAGCCTTTATTTTCCAAAGAGAAATTCAGAGCCAAATGGAATGATGTGGATGCTTTGTCTGATGCCATCCATCCGTCCATCCATCAATCCATCCATCCGTCCGTCCGTCTGTCCGTCCGTCCGTCCAACCATCCATCCATCCATCCATCCGTCCATCATCTATCCATCCGTCTGTCCGTCCATCATCCATCATCTATTCGTCCGTCCATCCGTCTGTCCATCCCTCCGTCTGTCCGTCCATCCGTCCATCCATCCATCCATCCATCCGTCCATCATCTATCCATCCGTCCGTCTGTCCGTCCGTCCATCCATCCATCATCCGTCTGTCCGTCCATCCATCCTTCATCCGTCCATCCATCCATCCATCCGTCCATCATCTATCCATCCGTCCGTCTGTCCGTCCGTCCATCCATCCATCATCCGTCTGTCCGTCCATCCATCCATCCGTCCATCCATCCATCCATCCGTCCATCCGTCTGTCCATCCCTCCGTCTGTCCGTCCATCCGTCCATCCATCCATCCATCCATCCATCCATCCATCCGTCCGTCTGTCCGTCCATCCATCCATCCGTCCATCCATCCATCCATCCGTCCATCCGTCTGTCCATCCCTCCGTCTGTCCATCCATCCATCCATCCATCCATCCATCCATCCGTCCATCATCTATCCATCCGTCCGTCTGTCTGTCCATCCATCCATCATCCGTCTTTCCGTCCATCCATCCTTCATCCGTCCATCCATCCATCCGTCCGTCCATCCATCCTTCATCCGTCCATCCATCCATCCGTCCATCCATCCGTCCGTCCGTCCATCCATCCATCCGTCCATCCATCCGTCCGTCCGTCCGTCCATCCATCCGTCCGTCCATCCGTCCGTCCGTCCATCATCCATCAACTATTCGTCCGTCCATCCGTCTGTCCATCCCTCCGTCTGTCCATCCATCCATCCATCCATCCATCATCTATCCATCCGTCCGTCTGTCCGTCCGTCCGTCCATCCATCCATCCATCATCCGTCTGTCCGTCCATCCTGTTGAATATTGTTATAATATGGTTAAGTCATATTGTTTATATGTTTACTAAATAGAATGAAAACTAAATACAATTTGGGTTAAGATTGTAATGTTTGGTCATTTAAGTGTTTCTCCACTAGATGGCGTAGGGGCCATATGTCAGCCATGGTTGTTTAGTTTGTGATTCCTGACCAGCGAAGAAGTCAGTGATTTTCTAGAAGATGTAGCTCTATGTAAATGTTGGAAGTTGCCGCAGTTCAGAATTAAAGTTATATATATAAGAAAATCGAATCTACAGTCGTCTTTTTCAACAAGATTGGATGTTTCAGCTAAATCCACAACATTTTTTGGTGCCGAAAACACGGGATTACGTGAGTAAAAAGGAACTTTGTTGGGATCGAGCCGATAGCTGCTAACAACAACAACAACAAAAAAATGACGGAGCGACTTCAGAGATTAAAACAGAAACGGACTGTTCTGCGTGCATCTGTTACGAAGCTTGTGCAACAAATTCAAGAGGAAACAAATGAGACTGATGTGAATGCTGACCGTTTGCTGGAGCTACTAGCCATGTTATCACAGAAGGAGAAAACCCTCCAAGAGCTTGAGCCAGAAATAGAGAAGGCAATTCCTCTGGAGGAGTTAGATGCGGACATGGTGAGGACAATAGAATATCAAGACAACACAAACTTATGGAGGACACGAGCAGAAAGAGCGATTGCCAGGGCTGCTACACAAGAACAACAATTTCTAGTGGACACCGCTGCATTATCAGGCACTCGGCTGAGTGATGCAAGTACACGGTCAACAGCAAGCAGACCCTCGGTAAAACTGCCCAAGCTTTCAATAAGCAAATACAACGGAGAAGTGTGTATGTGGCAAGAGTTTTGGGACCAGTTTGTGAACGCTATTCATGAAAATCCAGATTTAAGCAAAACTGAGAAGTTCACTTACTTGAAGTCCTACCTCACCGGTCCAGCTGCACGTGCAATTGCAGGGTTGAAGGTAACTGACACTAATTATGATGCCGCTGTAGACATGCTTAAACAAAGATTTGGCAGAAAAGAGCTAATTGTGAGTGCGCACATGTCTAAGTTGTTGAATCTGAGCCCAGTAAAAAGATCCTCGGATGTTGTTGCTTTGAGACAACTTTTTGATGATGTGGAAGTGCAGATCAGAAGCCTAGAAGCTTTAAGTGTTGCGTCAGACAGTTATGGTGCTTTATTGTGCCCCATTCTCCTCCAGATGATTCCCGATGATCTCGCTCTTGAATACACTCGTAAAACAGATAAAGGAAAAAGGTGGGGGGTTGAAGATCTTGTTAGTTTTTTACAACAAGAAGTTGAAAGCAGGGAACGTGCTGCACATTTAACAAAACCAAGAGAAACGAAAGATGCACCCGCTGCTTACAGACAACATTATAAACAGGATTTATGCAGAGAAAAGTGGAAAAGACCTAATGTGCCATCAGCTGCAGCACTTCATACTGGCAGTTCCAATTCACCACTCGGTTGCCTATTCTGCAACAGTACAAGCCACAAGTCAGAACAGTGCACTGAAGACACTGTCACAGGGAGGAAGGAAAAGTTAAAGAAAATGGGGAGGTGTTTCATATGCCTGAAGCCTAGACATCTTGCCCGAGACTGCAGATCAAAAAATGTAACATGCACTGATTGTGGAAGGAGACACCATGCTGTAGTGTGTGAGAAAGGAGAAGAATCAAAAGAGACCACAAAAGCTGCCGCGGACACCAGTGACACTGTAGTCTCATCAGTTATTCCACAAAATGCTAAACCGACTCCAGAAAGGTGTGAAACTGTGCTTTTGCAAACGGTGAGAGCAAGGATTAAAGGACCTTGGGGGGAGAAAATTGTACGTTGTTTGATTGATGGAGGAAGCCAACGCAGTTTTGTTCATGAGAAACAAGTGAAAGATTTAAAGCTACCAGTGATGAAACAAGAGACATTAAATCTTCACACTTTTGGCTCAAAGAACCCAACAACCACCAGATGCAATGTCATAAAACTAATCCTTGAAAATGTAAGAAACAAAGAACAGAAATTTGAAATAGAAGCTGTCCAAACACCACAGCTTTGTACTGCAGTCATGAAGGTTCCCAGTGAGCACATTCAGCATCAGCTGGAGGAAAAGGGACTACCAGTAGCAGATGTGTCTACAGGAGACAAGGACGAGCTGGAACTTTCTGTACTTATTGGAGCAGATTACTACTGGAAAGTAGTCACAGGCAAAACTGAAAGACTCTCAGATGCTTTAGTGGCTGTTGAAACAAGATTTGGCTGGGCAGTGCAAGGACCAGTAATGATGTCGAGTATGAATGAAGCAACATGTCTGCACATCGGAGTCAGTGAAAACCCAGTGGACATTTCTAACCAGTTGAGAGCATTCTGGGAAATAGAGTCACTGGGCATTTCCACCAAAGGAGAAGAAACATCGGATGACAAGAAAGCCATTGACAGCTTTGACAGGTCAGTCAAATTCATTAATGACAGATATGAAGTGGCATTGCCATGGCGACAAGACACGCCCAAGATTTCTGATAACAAAGGGGTTGCACAGAAAAGATTTGAAATGCTGAAAAGAAAACTGAATTCTGATGTGTCTCTGTACAAAAGATACAATAATGTAATAGAGGATTACACCGAGCAGGGAATTTGTGAGGAAGTACCTGATAGCAGTCATTCAAGGACTGCTGATGTGACTTACTACTTACCTCATCACGCAGTGATCAGAGAGGACAAGGTAACTACCAAGCTGAGAATAGTGTTTGATGCTTCATCACATGAAAAGGGTTGCTCCTCTTTGAATGACTGTTTGTTACCTGGCCCAAACTTAAATTCTGACCTAATGAGCATTTTGATCAGATTTCGTCAACATCCTGTAGCCTTCACAGCGGACATCACAAAGGCGTTCCTGCAGATTTCTATCACTGAAGGGGACAGAGACGCTCTGAGGTTTTTGTGGCTCACAGGGCCCCCAGATGCAGAGAGCACAAGCACATGCATAATGAGAATGAGACGCGTTGTGTTTGGAGTAACTTCAAGTCCTTTCCTACTTGCTGCCACAATCAGACATCATTTAGAGAAATATCAAGACATCCTACCAGAAACAGTAAAAATGATGAGAGATTCGCTCTATGTGGATGATCTGATTGCTAGTTCAAGAAACTCAGACGAGGCCTACACACTTACCGCCGGAGCAAAGGAGATACTGGCTGCTGCAAACATGAACCTGTGTAAGTGGACAACAAACTCACAGGAACTAAAAGCTAAGTGGTCAAACTGTTCCTTTGACATGACACAAGAAACTGAGACACACGGAAATGTGCTAAAGGTACTTGGTTTAGTGTGGAGACCGGAAACCGACAACTTTACATTTGACCTTAACCACTTGATGAACATTCTACAAGGAAAAGAGAATACAAAGAGGAGTGTTTTAAGGTCATCTGCCAGAATATTTGATCCAATAGGATTTCTAACGCCATTTACTGTCCGTGTTAAGTGTCTGTTTCAGGAAATGTGGCGTCGGGGGCTCAACTGGGATGATGAGCTGCCTCCCGACCTTTCCAACGCATGGGAGCAGTGGTGCTTGGAGCTCACACAGATACACCAAATAGTCATTCCAAGGTGGTATGGAACAGAAAGGATGCAAGGTAAAACAGAACTTCTCCATGTTTTCACAGACGCCAGTGAAAGGGCTTATGGTGCAGCTGCATATTTGCAAGGAAAAACAGCCGAAGGAAAAACGGTAACTGCACTCGTGGCTTCGAAATCCAGAGTGGCTCCAATCAAAACAATGACACTTCCCCGCTTGGAGCTAATGGGAGCTTTAATTGGAGCAAGGTTGGCAAATAACCTGTTAAAGGCACTGGATATGCAAATCACCCAGCTGCAATTGTGGTCTGACTCCATGATAGTAATCCACTGGATTCAAAGTTCACCAAAGAAATGGAAACCATTTGTTGCTAACCGAGTAGTGGAGATACAGACTTTGACACCTCCTGAAGTATGGAAACACTGTAATGGTAAACAGAACCCAGCTGATCTCACCACAAGAGGACAATCTGCAACAAGGTTGAAAGAGGAAGAGCTTTGGTGGTCGGGCCCATTATTTTTGAGAGACAAGATACTTGGAACACCACCTTCAGAGGCAGCACCAGAAGTGTTCTCAGAGGAAGAGGTCAAAGCAGAGCTCAAGGCAAGTCAAGTCATCGTACAGTTCAGTAACACCGATAGGCTGCAGACTGAGCCATTGTTGCAGTTGGAAAATTACAGCAAGCTACAAAGGGTACTGAGAGTTACAGCATGGATTAACAGGTTTGTTCACAACTGTCGATCAAAGCAAAGGAAGGTGGGAGAAATAACAGCAGAGGAAATGTCAGAAGCTGAAAGGGTATGGATTCGTGAAGCACAAATCAACAGTTTTGAAAGGGAAATAAAAGAGCTAAAAGCTGGAAAGGCTGTGCACAAAGATTCTAAGATTAGAGACTTTAAACCCTTCCTCGATGAAAATGGTTTAATCTGTGTAGAGGGAAGGCTACATCAGTCAGATTTGAGTTTTACTGAGCAGCATCCGTGGTTGTTACCCTCAAGTCACAGACTTTGCCAACTTCTGATCAAGTACAGTCACGCGGATGTAATGCATTCAGGCGTGAGAGACACTCATGTTCATTTAAGAGAAAAATATTGGATCCTACGCGCCAGACAGTTAGTCAAAAAATGCATTTCAGAATGTACCATCTGCAAAAGATTTAATGTGAAGGCAGTGAAACAAACAACTGCACCACTACCCAGAGACAGAATTACAGAAGCGCCACCATTTGAAATAACTGGTGTAGATTTCGCAGGTCCACTGTATGTGAAGTCCAAGGGTAACACAGAAAAGGCGTATGTGGCACTTTTCACATGTGCCGTGACACGTGCAGTGCATCTCGAACTAGTATCAAGCCTAACAACAGAAGGTTTCCTCTTAGCACTGAAAAGGTTTGTTTCACGGAGAGGACTCTGCAGAATAATCTACTCGGACAATGCTCAAACATTCAAGAAAGCAGAAAAAGAACTAAAGGAGCTGTGGAAGGCCACAAAAGAGCCAGAGCTGTTGGAATATGCTTCTGAAAAGGGAATTAAGTGGAAATTCATTGCAGAGAGAGCAGCTTGGTGGGGTGGATTTTGGGAACGATTAGTGCGCTCTGTGAAGGGATGCCTCAAAAGAGTAATGGGAAGAGCATCTCTAGGGTTTGAAGAGTTAACATCTTTACTGTCAGAAATCGAAGCCACTATCAACTCAAGACCACTCACCTTTGTGTATAATGATTTAAAGGAACCTGAACCTCTGTCTCCAGCGCATTTTTTGATTGGAAAGAGACTCAGTTCTTTACCTCCAAAGCCTTTCTGCACAACAGGTCAGATAACAAATGCAAACCAAGAGCAGCTGACCAGAAGATGGAAATACCGTCACAGACTGATGGAGGAATTCTGGAACAGGTGGAGGAGGGAGTATTTGTTGGATCTCAGATCGGCTCACACTTGCAAGACCCAAAATCCCACGTCGCTTAAAACTGGAGACTTGGTTCTCATTGGAGATGACAAAATGCCACGTCTAACCTGGAAAATAGGACTTATCACCGAAGTGTTCCCAGGAAGAGATGGGCTGGTCAGATCCTGCGCGGTGCGCACCCCAACAGGGACGATGTTAAGAAGACCAGTTCAGCTATTATATCCATTTGAAGTTAACAATTGAACTGTCTTCTTGGGGGGAGGATGTTGAATATTGTTATAATATGGTTAAGTCATATTGTTTATATGTTTACTAAATAGAATGAAAACTAAATACAATTTGGGTTAAGATTGTAATGTTTGGTCATTTAAGTGTTTCTCCACTAGATGGCGTAGGGGCCATATGTCAGCCATGGTTGTTTAGTTTGTGATTCCTGACCAGCGAAGAAGTCAGTGATTTTCTAGAAGATGTAGCTCTATGTAAATGTTGGAAGTTGCCGCAGTTCAGAATTAAAGTTATATATATAAGAAAATCGAATCTACAGTCGTCTTTTTCAACAAGATTGGATGTTTCAGCTAAATCCACAACACATCCATCCTTCATCCGTCCATCCATCCATCATCCGTCTGTCCGTCCATCCATCCTTCATCCGTCCATCCATCCATCCATCATCTATCCATCCATCCATCATCCGTCTGTCCGTCCATCCATCCTTCATCCATCCATCCATCCATCCATCATCCGTCTGTCCGTCCATCCATCCTTCATCCGTCCATCCATCCGTCCATCCATCCATCATCTATCCATCCGCCCATCCGTCCGTCCATCCATCATCTATCCGTCTGTCCGTCCGTCTTTCCATCCATCCATCATCCGTCTGTCCATCCATCCATCCTTCATCCGTCCATCCATCTGTCCGTCCATCCATCCATCCATCCTTCATCTGTCCATCCATCCATCCGTCCGTCCATCCATCCATCATCTATCCATCCGCCCATCCGTCCGTCCATCCATCATCTATCCGTCCATCCATTCATCCATCCATCATCTATCCATCCGTCCGTCCATCCATCATCTATCCATCCATCCATTCATCCATCCATCATCTATCCGTCCGTCCGTCCATCCATCTGTCCGTCCCTCCATCCATCCATCCGTCCGTCCATCCATCCATCCATCCATCCGTCCATCCGTCCGTCCGTCCGTCCATCCATCCATCCATCCATCATCCATCCGTCCATCCATCCATCCTTCATCCGTCCATCCATACATCCGTCCGTCCGTCCATCCATCATCTCACCGTCCGTCCATCCATCCATCCATCCATCCGTCCATCCGTCCATCCATCCATCCATCCATCCATCCATCCATCCATCCATCCATCCTTCATCCGTCCATCCATACATCCGTCCGTCCGTCCATCCATCATCTATCCGTCCGTCCGATCCATCCATCCATCATCCATCCATCCATCCATCCATCCATCCATCCATCCATCATCCGTCTGTCCATCCATCCATCCTTCATCCGTCCATCCATACATCCGTCCGTCCGTCCATCCATCATCTATCCGTCCATCCATACATCCGTCCGTCCGTCCATCCATCATCTATCCGTCCGTCCGTCCATCCATCCATCCATCCATCCATCATCTATCCATCATCCATCCATCCATCCATCCATCCATCATCTATCCATCCATCCATCCATCCATCCATCCGGCCATCCATCCATCCATCATCTATCCATCCGCCCGTCCGTCCATCCATCCATCCATCCATCCATCATCTATCCATCCATCCATCCATCCATCCATCCATCCATCCATCCATCCATCCATCCATCCATCCATCATCTATACATCCATCCATCCATCATCTATCCATCCATCCATCCATCCATCCATCCATCCATCCATCCATCCATCCATCATCTATCCATCCTTCCATCCATCCATCCATCCATCCATCCATCCATCCATCATCTATCCATCATCCATCCATCCATCCATCCATCCATCCATCATCTATCCATCCATCCATCCATCCATCCATCCGGCCATCCATCCATCCATCCATCCATCCATCCATCCATCCATCCATCCATCCATCATCTATCCATCCGCCCGTCCGTCCATCCATCCATCCATCCATCCATCCATCCATCCATCATCTATCCATCCATCCATCCATCCATCCATCCATCCATCCATCCATCCATCCATCCATCATCTATCCATCCATCCATCCATCCATCCATCATCTATCCATCCATCCATCATCCATCCATCCATCCATCCATCCATCCATCCATCCATCCATCATCCGTCCGTCCGTCCGTCCGTCCGTCCGTCCGCCCGTCCGTCCGTCCGTCCGTCCGTCCGTCCGTCCGTCCGTCCATCCATCCATCCATCCATCCATCCATTCAGTGTTTGCTTGCTCTTACCTTGTCTGTTTGGTCTACACTCATCTGTTTGTACTGTAACTGTTATTGATAAAGAATGCAGCAATAAAGACATGATGTTTTAGCTTGACTAAATCGGTTAGCAGGCTACACTCCTGCAACCATTGAGTGTTTGAAGTTTCTTGTTTTATTTTTATTAGCTCTGTCGGTTGGTCCTTTTTTATCTTTCTGTCTTGGTTTATCATTTTTTTATAGGTTTGATGAGAGATGAGCTCAACTCTGTGAATATAAAGGAAAGTTTGAAACTACTGATGGAGCACAGCAGCAGCAAACTAGCTTCCCAGGCCAGCTCCATTCTGAGCGTTCTCAGCGACCCCAGTTAAACCAGCAGGAAGGACGGAGTTTCATCTGCTCTATGATTGTGTGTAGATCTGATGTTAACTCATCCAGACAGCACAGATATTACTAAATCTAAAGTGTCACTTATTTTGTGATAATTCATATATTTTAGTGCTGGCATAATGCATATGTGACAGGCAAGACAAACTTATATGCACATTTATGCTTCCTATTTTTCTAGGAATTGTCCCTATGTTCTTGAGATATATTCAGATCCACATGTTGGGTGATTTCAGACAGGTGGGTCCTTGTGTAAATGAGAGGAAGTGATAGCTTAAAAGCATAGCTGGTAATATGAGAACTTCATTAGCCAATCATTTCTGTTTGTCTTTTGGTTTTTCTGTTTGTCAGTAAAATTCAGAAATCCAGTTCATGTGTGGTAGTGAAGTATACTGAATGGTGTTTCGCTATGTCAATACTGAATAAACATGCAAACAGTAAAACAAAATATTTGTGTATGTGAGTATGTGACATGAAATACACACAATAAAATATTTTCTGTATATATAGATTTTAACTAGCTCTGGTTCAAAAACAATGCTTTAACGTTACCCATTGCTGTTTTGGCTAGATGAAGCTTGTGCTACTGGACCTAGCATACATTATATACAGAATACAGAAAGTGCAGTGTAAAAATATGGCAACATCTAATGGGTGCCTTTTGTAAAGTTAAGCAGTTAAATATTAGGAGCAATATTTATGGTTATTTAGTTTGTTTTAAAAGAAAAATAAGGAGGTTGTTTAGTCATTTTGACTATGTCATTCATAAAAATCACAGTTACAAATTAAATATTTAGTTTAGTGCTAGCTAAATATTTACTTTGTTTGTCAAATTAAATATTTATCAAAGACATTAAGTTGGGTTAGTGTTGATGATGTCACCAGTGCGACAGAAATCAGGAAAGTAAACAATGGAGAGCAACATGGAAGGATGCCAGGGCGTAGTCTGTTTCACAGCATGTGAGCAGAGCGGAGTGGAAGAAATATGGTGGAGCGCAGAGCGGTTTTCAATTCAAAGGCCGGAGCGAGGATTTCGCTCTGCTCTAGTTCGCTCCGACTTTAAATTCATGTTTGACTTAAAACCTAGGCCAATGCCTATGCTGTAGTCTGTGCCTATAATCTGTTATAGTTTATGTTTCAACTTCACCATGAATCACCAAGACCAAGGATTGCATATTGTGAGATAAAAAGTGGTATAAAACAACATAAAAACATTCTAAAAACACACTAACTATACTTAACGTAAATTGATTGTTGTGGTAAGAGCCTTTTTAAAAAAAAAAACTGGATCACATGCATGCATTATATGCTATTATCTCATTTGCAAAGGGATGCGAAGTGACCTTTTTTATTTTTGAGTTTTTTTTCCGGCACTAGTGGCTCGTTTTTTTTTTTTTTTTTTTTTTTTTTTTTTCAAAAGGCTGACAGGAAAGGGTGTATGAGAGAGGGGGTGAGACATGTGGTAAACGACCACAGGTCCCGGGTCGGCCGCATTGAGAATAAAGGCCTCCGTACATGGGCCGTGCGCGCTAATCACTGTGCCACCTGCACGCCCCCGAAGTGACCTTTTTTAATGTTCAGTGTGCTTTATTGTTTCTCTCTTTTCTCCATCCGAATCCCTCTTAGCAGAGCTGTGCCATGTTTCATTAATGTAAACAGAGTTGTTTTGGCTTGTTAAATCAGACATGACTGGCACGGTATGTTGACGTTGGTACATTGTGCTCAATAGTATCACGTAAATAAGCGGGTCGACCCGGCTCTGGTATTCCCACTGTTAGGATATTTTTATTATTCATATATAAGTCTTTTGAACCCTAATAATTGCTGGCTGTTATGTGTCACATCTAATGTCTACCCAAGTAGTTTATCTAATTAGGGCAGTTCCTCTGTCAGGATATACAGTTATCATCTTCATTACATGAATAACAGAATTTGGAAATGAAATGAGAGTACACAGACAGAGAGGATAACTCTTAGCAGCGAACTATCTCCCATGGTGCATTTGCAGTGTCCTTAATCTAAAAACACTGTGTAATATTTTGAGCCATGGATGTCTCCTCTTTTACAAACGTGTATGATGTAATGACGTGAAGGTGTGCAGGCTGTGAGTAAAATGCTTCTTTAGCTGGTATTCAGGGCAGACTTCCTGAAGAAGCAAGCCTGGTTGGTAAGCTCTGCCATTCGTAACCTTGCCAGAATCTAGAACACACCTCTTTAAGTTCTTGGCTTTTAAGATTTCTATTGGTGGTTCATCCACAATTAGAGCCTAACTGCTACACTACTTACAGTGTTAACCTCTACGAAAGGTGCCTTTCAGATGGTCTAATGAGGCAGAACCCACCTTCACTTCTCTAGACGAAAAGTTTTCCATGTTCCCATCGTGATTCACCCTGATTACTCTTTGCTGTTTGTTTTAGAAGTTGATACTTCAGACACCGGGGTGGGAGCTGTCCTCTCCCAGAGATCTGGTGGTAAACTACAACCATTTGCATTATTTTCTCAGATACTTATACCTCCTGAGAGAACCTACAACATTGGGGATAGTGAGCTATAAAACTGGCCTGCGAATAGTGGTCCTCTGTCTAGAAGGGGCGGAACACCCAGTCATGGTTTGGTCTGATCCTCATGATCCATCCCCTCCAAGTAGCTAAAAGCGTGAATCCTTCCCAGTACTGTTAGTTTTTATTCTTCTCTAGATAAAATCTGTCCATCTCCTACGGTCCAGGATCCAAAAAACCTTAAACTGGATGCTCTATCCTGCCATTGGCTCTGTAAACAACCAGGTCCCATCCTGCCAGTTCCCATCTTGTGCTCATTCCTGGGACACAGAGCAGCAGCAAGCTCTGCAAACCGAACCGGACCCAGGTACGTTTCCTCCAAACCAAACCTATATCCCAGTTTATCCCAGCTTTAGTCTGGTCCAAATTAATTTACCCTGCTTCCACATTTTCAGTTGATCCTGGATTTAGTAGGTCTGTGTCATTAATCTCCATACATTTCTGGTGGAGCTCCATCCACCAGGATGTTAGAGTATATTCAAGCCTGCACTATCTGTGCACAAAGCAAACCACCCCATAGGCCTCCTTCTGGTCTTTTATCACTGCTCCTCATCAACAAGTCCCCATGTTCCTATATCACCCTATACATCACCTGCTTATCCAACTCCAAAGGAATGACAACTTTTGTGGCTATGGTTGATTAAAGCCTGTCATTTACTTCCACTCAGAAAGTTGCTGCCAGCTCTCCAAACTGCTCAATGGCTTATAAAGCATCTCTTTCAGCTCAGTGGGTTACCAAAGGTAATCCTCTGATTAGGGTGCTCAACTCATTTACCAAGTCTGGAAACAGTTCTGGTCAGCTCTTAATGCCAAAGTATCGCTTATTTCTGATTATCATCCACAGTCTAATGCAAGGGTGGAACTTTGTGATGAAAGTTGGTGGGGATGCTCGGGTGGGGGCTCATGGACCTACAGTTACACTTTCATTAGGCTAATTTTCCACAAAATAGCTCAAACATATAGTTATTGAATGCTTTCCTATTTTTGAGAACATAAGACCACAACACACTGATATTTATATTTATAGATGTTAGATAGATGCCTTTTAGTGTATTACAAATATAGGGCCCGAAAACATCAATGCATGAAAAAAACAATTAATAAGAGTCGATTCCAATGCCAAAACTGATATATCATGCATCCCTAGAAGTACAATTTCAATTCCATCCAGAAAAAATGGATATGCTGCATTTTAAGTATAATATAAAATATTATTTTCTTGTAAACTTTCTGGTAAACTTGGAGATATATTTTATTGCATATCCCAGTAAACCTATTTCACCTTTAAATCTGCAGCTCTCACTACTTCTCTCTCTGCTCTGTTTAAAAAGATTTATGAACCTCTTTACTGAAATAATGATGCCAGATAATAAATTTCAAGATATGTAGAAGCTCTGCAGTCTGATTCTGTCTGCACAATAAGAAAGCATTTTAACCTGTAACTGGGAGTCATGGTCCTCTGAGAAGCCAAGAATTTTTTAACTAGTAAAGAAGAATAAACTATATTTTATCAAGCTCCTTGCGTTATAATATTAACTTGTTTAAACTTACAGTCTGTTGCCATTTTTAGCTGAAAAACCTCTGTATGTTTAACAAACTGATTTTTCAGTGACATCTCTAATTATTTTAACCAACCCGTCTCCTAACATTGAAGTAGCTGCTGGTTAATATTCACTGAGTGCTGCTGTGTGTCTCTCCTCTGACAACGTAGCTACAAATGCGACGGCAAATCCGATGTCTCAAGGCGACAGATCTGATTATGTTACACTGAGAGGCGGGACACGGCAGGAGAGAAGAAAAAAAACATACATTTAAAACGCTCTGAACACAGATAGCTGCATCCAAGTCTGTTACCTTTGGCTAAAGAAGATGAGCGGAAATGGGAAAAAAAGCGGAAATTATTGATGACATGTCCACACAAGTCCTTCAGAAAGTTATGCCTTTGGTCTTATGCCCAAGTTAAACGTATAAACCAAGAATCCCTGCTAAGTTGCAATACCTTAACTAGTCCCAATGAATGGAGCTCATTTCTGCCTTGGGGGGAATATACCCACAATTCCCATATCTATATCGCTTCTGTTTGAAACCTCTTTGGGAAATCAACCACCCTATTCCCTGATGATGAGAAAGAAATTGCTGTTACCTCAGTCAACCATCACATTTGCTGTTGGACTTCTGCTCACACTCCCAGACAGAAAGTAAGGCTGTCTACTTAGGATTTTCTTTTAATATCAGTCTCCAGGTAGCAGGCCACCCATTTTATTGGACCTTATGAAGAGCAGACAGTCACCACTTCAATTCAGTTTATTTATTTAGCGCCAATTAACCACACGTCATGTCAAGGCACTTTACAGAGACAATTAAAACTGATCATTCAGTCAGATTGGTTTAAAGTTTCTAAGGTAAACCGGCTGATTGCATCGACTCATTGACTCGAATGCAGTCCCTCACACCAAGCATGCTTGTAGCGACAGTGGAGAGGAAAATCTCCCTTTTAACAGGAGGAAACCTCCAGCAGAACGAGACTCAGTGTGAGCGGCCATCTGCTGAGGCCGACTGGGGCCTTCTGCCTTGCGTCTGCCGCCCAATCTCCATGTCCATCCAATCTATCATGTCTCCCAAATCAAACTTGTTTTGTCCAGCCTTTAATGCCCTCCGCCCAGATTCCAACCATGGGCACCCAGTGTATGCATTCTGAGGAACTATGGACTCCCATCGGCAGGGAATACATGGCAATACCTCATCGTTTGGGAAGGATATCGTCCTTAGAACTGCTGCTGGGTGCCCGGTTCCTTCATCTGTCCACCTCTTCTGGCCCGTCAGGAGACTGCTGTTTTGGGGGGGCTGATGTTGGGTTTTTGAGTTTCTGTCTGTTCTCAGCCTTACCACT